CATGAATTTTTAAGAAAAATGATGAGATTATGGTAGGGATGTCTGTGACTTCCTCTAACTTCACAAAGGGATAGGATAATCCAGATTAACAGTCAAAGGTTGATTCCTCTGAGGTGGAGGTCAGGTGTGACTCATCTCTTCAACCTCTTTACCAATTCTGATATCAGCCATCCCTCTCACGGCACTCTCTACTTCTGTACTTCTAATTAGATAATCTGTTGCAACAGCCACACAGAATTCAACAGACCACACTTAAACAATTATGGGATTTATCAGGGAAGTAACAAGATATAGTTCAGGATCAATTTAGAAGTAAAAGGATCAACTCAGAGTACAGTCCTGAATGAGGACAAATTCTTCTCTTCCTCAGCTGCTGGACCCTGCTCCGGACATTCTTGGGCAAGTGTTGTAACTCTTAGCTCCGTGAATTGGCAAGCCCCGTGGCAGCCATTTTGCATTGATTTTGCTCTTGTTATTGCTGCATCATCATCTCTTGCTGTCTTTCATGTTACAGCTCCTCTCTTTCTCTTCATGTCTCCTTTTAAGCCTAGTGGGATGGCAATAGTGGGAAACCAATCCTCTGGTTAGAATTCCATGCACCTTATTTACGTTTTTAGCAAGTGGTGTGGCACTGTGGGCTAATGCGTCAGACTGCAAAGTTGTTTGAACTGCAAAGTTGGTGGTTCAGGCTCACTAGCTGCTCCTTGGAAACCCTCTACAGGGTCGCTATGAGTTGGAATCAACTCAACGGCACTTAATAACAACAACATCCAGTTCCCTTAGTGGGTCATAAGCATAGCTCCACCCAATCACTTGGTAGGAATTACAAGCCCTATGATTAGAAAGGCACCTGCTAAGCTAAAGCAATAGTGGGTGTGTGTCGATTTTCTTCTGCTATAAATAGTACTCATTTGAGAGCAGCAGACCTGACTTCTAATCATAGTTGTCTCCAAATTACTGGGAAGAATTTAAGTCAAAATCTCCTCATCTATGAAAAGGAAAGGAAAGGCCCAGCTACAAAATCTCAAGGTAATTATGATCCAAGCAGATCTATCATTCTACTTGACTTTACTTTTCCTTAGTTCCCCTGGGGTCTTGCTGGCTTCTGCTTTCTGGGCTCATTCAGTGGAGTTAAAATCAGAAGCAAGGGCAGGTGCTCATCACTTGTGGACCAGGGTACTTTACCCAAATATTGTTGTTGTTGTTGTTGTTAGGTGCCATCGAGTCAGCACCGACTCACAGTGACTCTATGCACAACAGAACAAAACACTGAACTGTCCTGGGTCAACCTCACAATAGTTGTTACACTTGAGCCAATTGATGCTGCCACTTTGCCAATACATCTTTGCCAGGTCTTCCTCTTTTTTTCTAACCCTCCACATTACTGAACATGATATCCTTCTCCAGTAACTGGTCCCTCCTGACAATATGTTCAAAGTATGAGACATGAAGTCTGGCCATCCTGGCCTCCAAGGAGCTGTACTTTTTCCAACAGAGATCTGTTTGTTCTTTTGGCAGCCCATTTCACTTTCAATATTCTCCAATACCATAACTCAAAGCATCAATTCTTCTGTGGTCTTCCTCATTCACTGTCCAACATTCGCATGCATATGAGGTTATTGAAAATACTGTGGCTTGGGTCAGGTGCACCTTGGTCCTCAAGCTGCCATCTTTGCTCTTCAACACTTTTAAAAGGTCTTGTGCAGCAGATTTGCCTAATGCAATACGTTGTTTGATTTCTTGACTGCCACTTCCATGAGTGTTGATGCTTGATCCGAGAAAAATGAAGTCTGACTTCAGTCTTTTCTCCGTTGATAAGAATGTTGTTTATTGGTCCAGTGGTGAGGATTTTTGTTTTCTTTACATTGAGATACAATCCATACTGAAGGCTGTGGTCTTTGATCTTCATCAGTAAATATAATACTAATAAATACCCAAATAGAACCTGGAAACTCTT